TACTGGTGTTACTGGGCCATCCTGGACTCACAGGGGGGCGGGGCCTGGGCGCTGTCCCGGGGGTCCCAGCGCTCCTCCTTGCGCCGGGCCCCGCTCACGATGACGTAGTCGCAGCTCGCGGGGTCCGTCTGCAGCTCGATGTGGTTCACGCACAGGTGACACTTCATCCTGAACCTGGTGGGGGGGGTCACGGCTCAGGGGGGGGGCCCTGGGGGTGTCCCCAGGTGTCCCCAGAGCTCGGGAGGGGTGTCACACCCACCTGTACACGGGGGTGGTGTAGTAATTCCCCACCTTCTTCTTCTCCGCGTTGTACCTGACGCCTGAGGGAGGAGGGGGTGGGGGGTAGGGGGGGTCAGACCCACCCCTTAAAGGATTTCAGGGCCCCCCTGAGCACCCAAACCCCCTGGGACTCACCAAAACACCCCCCGCCCCCAAAAACTCCGCTGCCAGGCCACTTGAATGCCCCGATCCCCCTCAAAACCCCCCAGACAGACCCTCCCCAAAAACCAACCCCTGACATCCCCCAGCCCCCCCAAACCCCCAACAACCTCTCCCTTACCCCCCCAACCCCCCCCCAGAACCTCCCCAACACCCCCCTGACACCCCCAAAGCTGCCCCCAGCCCCACTCACCCATCCCGATGTGGTTCTTGCACCCGTCGCACCAGATGTTAAAGGGCATCTCGAACCTGAAGGGGGGGCACAGGGAGGGTTTAGGGGTGTCCTGGGGACCCCCCAGCTGTGCCAGGGGCCGTTTTGGGGTGTGTCCTCCCCTCACCTGATGACCAGGATGCCCTGGGAGAGCTTCCGGGCGCGCTCCCGCAGGGGGTGGCTGTGGTGGTACTTGTTGAGGGAGCCATGCTGGGGGGGAAAAAGGGGGCGTCAGGGGGGTCCACAGCACCCCAAAAACCCCCTGAGCCCCCCCTGGCAGACCCCCAGAACCCCAAAAACCCCTTAACCCCAAACTCCCCGTGACAGCCCCACCAGCCCCCCCAAAACCCCGACACCCTCCCCAGCCCCGCCAAATCCCCCCTTACACCCCCCAGTTCCCCCCAAACCTCCAAAAATCGCCCCTAAACCCCCCCAAAATCCCCCCTGACACCCTCCCAGCCCCCAACCCCCCCCAAGTTCTCCCCAGCCCCCCAAACGCCCCTCACCCACCTTGGCAGGGTCGAAGTCGGGGGGGTAGTACTTGTTGGTGCCCTTGCGCTCGCCCTGGGGGGACATTGGGGGGTCACAGGGGGCCCCCCGGTGGCGTTGGTGGCCCCGTGGTGGCACCAGTGGCACCAGTGGCCCCAGGGTGGCCACGGTGGCCCAGATGCCTGTGGTGCAGCCACAGTGGCCCTGGTGGCCCCAGGGTGGTCCCGTGGTGGCCCCGATGTGGCCCCGTGGTGGCCTCAATGCTGCTGAGGTGG